GACCACCCCATCTTAGGAAACTCCTCTTTGCCTAGAGCTTTGCCTCTTGAAGACCGAGGCGACACTGGAGCTTCTCAAGATCTCCAGCCTCGAGATCACTAAGGGCCCTTGGCTCCAACACATTATCCTGCACCTCGGGCCAACCCAAGCAGGATAGTATGTTGTCGGCACCAAGCACCAAGACGAAGAACCTCTTACATTCTTCATCTAGCTTTGGGAGATCGACGTCCAAGCGAAAATCACCCCGACAGTGGAAAAAATAGTGTGGGTCGCCCTCAGCAGACCCCACACTGACCACATGCCCAAGCAAACTGATGCTGGGCACCACTTCTGCCTCGACACAAACGTCTATAAACGCCATCAAGATATAGATGGCGTGGGGATGGAACTAGCAGGGGGAAACCCCCAAAGCCGTAAAAACTTCCCTTACAAAGGGATACAGCAACAGGCGTTATCCACACTGCAAGTGCACCTAATAGAGAGGCACTCGATCCTCCCCATGCATATGCACCGGAGTAAGACTATCCGGTGCCCCTATGGTCATCGCTCGAGGAATGTCGTACTCATTATGCAACCAAGTTGCCTCATCCAAAGTTATCCTCGACCTAGACAGGAACAAAACCATGAGTTTCTTCTCGTAGTCATTTTGAGGAAAAGCCATGCTAAAATCTCTTAAGGAGTCAAAGGAAGGATCGACGCAGAGAAATGTTCCTGGTAAAGAGTGTTCTTTTAAAACAGCACAGAGAACTATTTATAAGCCTCTAAAGAAACATGCAGAGCCCAAAAGGCACAGCCTTGGAGCAACCAAGGAAGATTCACTTTGAGAATCGGAACGGATTGCTCGAAATGCCAACCATCATTCATAACTCATGCCAATAAATTGGCAAAAGAGGCACCATTTACTCTGTCCACGACACCTTATTTTCTCTAAAAAATCGGTTCCCAAAACCGACAACATTAGTCTACAAAAGATTGGCGGTTAGCAAATCCCACGCCTTGTCTCCAACCATGATCAACTGGCTAAAAAGTCTCAACACTCCGAACAAACTCATACTTATTTCACTCGGACCCGACTAAAGTCAACTCCGAATGAAAGGGGCCAACTGTTATGGTCAAACTCATACTTATTTCACTCGGACCCGACTAAAGTCAACTCCGAATGAAAGGGGCCAACTGTTATGGTAATTTACCATCTAAAGATGAAGATACCAAAAGATTGTCTGCATGGGCTAAAAAGGCCAAGGTTCAAACCAGCTTAGAGGCTCCAAAGCCCAGCCAAGGGCAAGTCTATCGGCCAGTCGAGCGGATGAGTCATTTTTGACCAAGGATCATCATTACCGACTCAAAGTGCGGGACCAGTCAATCCCTCGTATTCAAGATGACTCCTCTAACAGACGTCTCGACTATACACTCAACCCGAATCTCACTCGGCTATCGAGTCTGGAAATCACAAAGACAACTCACGAACCGACTCGCCTCTACTAAGGGGATAAGATCCAGCTAAGCTCACCTCAGATATCAATCAACACAACAGCAAGAATTAGTCCCATCAAGATCTCTGCTCTGACAAATCCCTTGCACAAGCCGCTTATTCTACTCACAAGTCACTTCTCTGGGATCGCCATGATGCTTTTCTGGGCTCGAATGACTTTCCCTCTAATCACCAACCGCCATCTGGAGAGGGAAGGACGACCGGGCAGCGGGCCTATTCTTTGTCCTGCCTCATCTATCAAATCCAGGATACTGAGAGGACATCTCTCTCCTGTATTCGAATGACTTCCCTTCCAATTGCCAGCCGACATCTAGAAGGAGAAGGATGACTCAGAAGTCTATCTACCCACCCTGCAACCACCCTCCTATGCAAAAGAAAATCCTAAATCTCAGAGGCAATGGACTATAAAAAGGAGGTAAGGAGGGTAAGGGCGAAAGAGGCTGATCTCTGCTTCTTACACCTCAGCTTTACTCCCCTTTCGATCTTCTTTTTACATAAAAAGAAAATTTAATAACTCTTAAGGAGGAACCCCCTGCAAGGACCTGAATGGCCCAGGGACCTCTTAAAAAACCCTCCTCAAGTTCACCGGCTGACTTGACCATCGGAGGTACCACAGGGGAAATTAGCCCTATACTCCTGCAATTCTTACATGTGTAGGCTATCAGTCCACCCCGCGCGCTCAGAATCGGGCAAAGAGTCGGAGGAGGAGTCGGCCCCATCTCTTATCTCCCAACCTTCGTCATCAACGGAAGACCCTCTTTGGCTGTGTGTTCACGGACATCAACAATATATATATGAAGGGTCAAACGATGACTGATTCACCCCAAACTTGGTGTGTTGGGATTTTAGAATATGTAGATCAAGTTTAACAGAGCGGATCATCCATAATGTCGCTAAATCATGTGATTTTAGAGGCGTCAAGGAGGAAATCCCCTCCTATGACAAGGATACCCATTAATCTCTCTCTCTCTCTCTCTCTCTCTCTCTATAAATATATATATATATATATATATATATATATATAAGTTTTCGGATGCGAAAAAATTTTCGCACAACAACTGTGCGAAAACTCACTTTGGCCGTTGGATTTTCATGAAGAACAATGGCCATTGGATCTTTGAAATCATCTTTAATTCCCAAGTCCCCGTACCCACCCTCTCTCTCCCCAGAACCCAAGCCCTCTCCCTCCCCAGATCCCTCTCTTCTCTCCTCCGTTAGATCTCGCCGTCGAGCTCCTCTCCGCCTTCAACCCTCCTCCGACTTCGACTCCGACTCCGACCTCCTCCTCCGCCTTCAGTCCTCCTCCACGATCTTAACGTCAAGCTCCCTAAACCCTCCTCCCTCTCCCTTCGACCAACTACGACTCCGACTCCGACTCCGACTCCGACCTCCACCTCCGCTCCCTGAGCCCAGATCGAGGTCCTCTCTAAACTTTTTGCTTGTTTTTGATAAATATTAGATGTTATAATTACTCATCAGCCTCTTTAAATTTGAGATTATGAGGCAACATTAGGCTAAAAATTTGACTTAATAACAAAAAATCAGTAGTGTTATGATAATTTGCATGTAGAATGTCTACTTCACCTTATCGCTGTCTAATTTGCATGTCATTTGCATGTGAATTTTTTCTACCTTGCTTTCAGGGAAGTGTATGTATGGGCTATCTGGGTTGTTCCCGTCCAATCTTTGAATATTTTGACTGCCTACTTCTTTATATTTATTTGAAGTTGAAAATTAAGCTTTCATTTCACATATTCGCCTCATAAGATAATTGGCGTAATCACACACTCACAACATTTTTGGGACATCAAGTTAACTGTTCTTTCATATGAAACATCAGCTTCACTGTCTGACCTGTTTAAGCGGAGCAATCCGAAAAATTTACTTGCCAATTTAAATACATTAGTAATTTAGTGCATTTGTTACTTATATATTCCACTATGGAAGATTTAGTGCATTTGGTAATTCGATGATCAATATATAGATCCGAAAAATTAAACAAAGAATCTGAATTTTCCTTGTTTATAGACTGATATATACATTTGTATGAACCTTGAATTTTGGGAGTAGATTATGTACATAATTTGGATTACGTTGTGAGTAGATGATATCGGGTACGTACACAATCCTTTTACAGTGATATCCATTTGTTTGTGATATGTTTTTTGCAGATAAAAGATGAAGAACTTTTCGGAAGAGTTCAGTGGAGAAGAAAATGAGGGTTTAGTACAAAGAATATGTTATTGTGGGTTAATTTGCAGAATATGAATGTGCATGCAATGACACAATAAGGGCTTAGAATTTTATAGATGCCCGAGATACAAGGGACCTAATTGTAAGGGTTGTAACTTCTTCGAATGGGTGGGTGATAGTAAGAATTTCACAAAAAGACTAGAAAGGCTAGAAAAAAATGATGAGGTTTTGAATAAAATGCTGAATGATGTAATTTTATATTTAAAATTTATAAGTATCGTTGTACTGATATTGTTGCTCTGTGTGTTAATCAAATGACTGAGCAACATATTAGTGAATGACTGATGATCCAAATATCCTATTGTAAACGAATGTTCAAACTGGTTATGTTTATTTGAAATTGGTTCAGTTGTTATGATTATTTGGTTGATATTTTGAACGTGCTATATCCTTGTTAATTTTGGGTTGTCTCCTCCTTTAAGATAACAACTATTGTCATATCCTTGTTAGTATGTTATCTATTGGTCAGACCTTTCGCTGATTGGAAGATCAAACAATTCTTCTGGTGACTAGTTTCCATCAGGTTGGATACATATGTTGTTAGTATTTGAGAAACTTTTTTTAAGTTGTTGTTTGGTTTTGGTGTGTTAGGATTGTTTACCCTTTCTTTGTTATAAAACTGTACTAGTTAGATATGTTGTTAGGATTGTGTACTATATACTAGTTTCCATCAGGTTGGATACATATGTTGTTAGGATTGTTTACCCTTTCTTTGTTATAAAACTGTACTAGTTAACTGTATATAGTTATGATGTTAGTTTCAACACTTATCTTTAACATAAATAAAGGAGTGTCTCTATACAGATCTAGGACTTCTTTCAATTGAGTTTATGTTGATAATTTACTATCCAAACTTCATAATGAATTCACAATTTTGGTCTCTTGCTTTAACATCTACAAATTAGTACCTCTAAAAACCAGACTGTTTGCAGCTGTACATGATTTTGGTCTTTTGCTTTATCATAATTCCAATCATTTTTGGCCTGAATACGAACATAGAATAATGAGATGACAATAAGCACAAATAATAGCACCACTTGTCTTGTTTAATATCCAGTGATATGCCAAGCACAAATCACTGAGACAACCGACATATGGCGTTACAACATATTAAAGATACAAAAACTTCATCTATAGTGCCAACGGACCAACACAGAAGATACAAAAACTCATTACCCATTTTTTCAATCACACCTCAAAAACACAGATACATAACGACTTCAACCCCTTCTCACTAATAGTGCTATGATAACACTCATTCTTTCGAACAAACATAACTTTTGCAAATTAACTCTCTATCCTTCCCATAATTTGTTGTACTATTATGGATATCAAAACCTCCGGCCTTTCCGTAATTTCTGTAGAATTTTTCAGCATCTTCTAATTTGTCGAAAGTCATGCCTATTTTTGGTTTTAAGTGCTCATCAACAATTGGCACAACTAAGTTATCTAACTGAGAGTTTGTTCTTCAACAACATGGGAGCAACCATCTTCAGTTTCCATTGGATCAAACATCAAGAATAATTTTTACCTACAAAAATAAACATCAAGAACAAACATCAAGAACAAACCATCAAAGTCCACTGTGCACAAAAATAAACAAATGAATCCATAGATTAAAAAAATCATCTTAAGAGGACAGTCAAAAAATCACAAGAACAAACAGTAAACACCCGCAAATTAGAAGTGTATTGGACCCAACCCCCCGCAAAAACTAATATGTAACAGGGTACCACACTACCAAAGTTAAGAAGTTGCAGATGACATGTTGGTGAGAAAACGCCCAAGTAGGAGTCAAGGACTTAAATCAAAAACACACAAATTCAAAGACATGCCAAGCTTGTAGGTGCCTAAAGTCCTCAAGAGCAACATGTCATCTTAATTAAATACAACGTTTTGTGACTGCTTACTTTAATATATGATCTATTGCAAAACATCAACTATTTATAGGTTTTCAGATATTTGGTCACATCTCATTGATTTCCTTTGTTGTGAAGGCATCCGTATATTAGCTAATCCTTTATGAAAACATCAACTCGCTTTAACACAAACTTAACAGATGATTATAGAAAAAGCGAACTCACCTGAAACTGACTTGTTCTCCACACAACAACACCCAGATTCTTGACCCATCTAATGTCTCACGCTAAAAGCTATTGCTGACCTGAACGTGTAAAGATAAATTTTTAATAATTAGTTTTGAACTTCTAAAATGTTATTCCTTTGGATTTAGATACTATTATGTTTCTAAAAGGTAATGTTAGTATGTTAGGCCTCAAATTCTACAGAAAAGAAATCGATGAGTTGAATGGATTATTCACTAGGACAAAATTTGAATTACAGAACACAACTAATCAAACAGCTAATTTAGGTCCAACCTGGAGCCTGTTCAGTGCCAAAAACTTCTCAGTGGAGCAAAGAGGAGAGGAGGGTTTGGGGAGCTCGATGACGAGATCGCGGGGGTGAAGACTGTCGGCGATGGGACTCGCAGGCTTGGCTCTGACGGGGGTGAAGGCTGGCGGCGATATGAGAGGGAGCGGAGGTAGAGGTCGGAGTCGGAGTCGTAGTTGGTCGGAGGGAGAGGGAGGAGGGTTTAGGGAGCTCGACGTTAAGATCGTGGAGGAGGACTGAAGGCGGAGGAGGAGGTCGGAGTCGGAGGAGGGTTGAAGGCGGAGAGGAGCTCGACGGCGAGATCCAACGGAGGAGAGAAGAGAGGGATCTGTGGAGGGAGAGGGCTTGGGTTCTGGGGAGGGAGAGGGCTTGGGTTCTGGGGAGAGAGAGGGTGGGTACGGGGACTTGGGAATTGGGGATGATATCAAAGATCCAATAGC